AAGGGACCTCTAGAGATCATCTAGATTCGGCTTTGGTTTCTCAGTCAATTTTCAATTAAGAACCATAGAAGAACTTGGAAGTGTCATTAGTACATTTAAGCCTGCTAAAAGCAGTGGAGGGAAATACTTTGAGAAGGAAGTCTTCCCACCACACAGTTACATGGTTGACATGAAGCCAACAGTAATAACTGATCCTTCCAAGCCTTATTTACCAGCAAATTTTAAGTCATCATTTAGATTAGAAATCATAGATGAAACTTGCTAAAGAAAACTGAGTAATAATCATAAATACAAGTGAAAACCACATGCTGTTAGCACCTACTGGTATCAATAGCTAACACATGCAGGTGCAAGTGGCACAGAACATTCTGCTTGCACAGAAATGTCATAAATGTTTGCCCTGGGCCTGGAAATAGCCAAGCAAGTTGAGAGAACAGTGTTGTGTTTATTTATTTATTTTTAAATCTTCCTGCATTTATTTAATATTAGCAAAATCTAATGATTTAAAGAGCTAGCACACTGTCAAAACTGGCACCTGGACTCAACTTCGATCTTATCCACATGCAACATCAAAAATTCAACCCAGACACTTTTCCTTAATTAAGTGCATTACAGCCACATAAGCACAGGAAAAGCAGAAACAGCCTTTAAGTCACAAATATCTAGAGGCATAGCTCATTTTATGGCAACGAGCAAAACAGCAGCCAGCTGAAGTGCTTTTTCAAAATCATTTTGAAAAAATTAAGCACTGCAAAAGACAGTACAGCACAAACAGGATAGCTGTATATTTCTTAAATGAGTTTAAGCAGTTTGATTCTTTGCAGTGAACAGTTACCTGATGCTGTAGTATCAGAGAGCGTCCCTGCATCAAGAGAAGAAGAGCTGGGTGCTTGGCCAGACAGTCCTAAGCTCTGAAGTCCAAGGGCACTACTGCTGCTCCCTGCAAGAGGAGGACAAATGATGAAGATTAAGACAAGAAAAAGCTTTCAGGAAGAGAGTTCTCTGGCCTTTCAGTACATTAAGTTCTGTTATTTCTGTTTTGTTGGCGTCACATCAATAGTTTCTGCTCCATTTCTTTCTCAACATCCTGATATCCTGTTTGCCTTTTTGACTACCAATAATGCACACATCCTACCTTGCTGATCTTGTTGCAGGCTCAAGGCAATAGCCAATTCCACCATCGTTTCATCATCTGCATCTGGAGGAATGTCCAGCATTGGTGGGAAACCCTCTGCTCCAGCCAGAAGAGCCTCCAGGGGCGAAGGGTTTCCGTTATTCACATTTTCAGAAGTCTCCAGCACCATGGATTCAGACTAGGGAGAAGGAACACAGTGAGAGCTGTTGCCAAACTACTACTAGCTAAAGGAGCTCCACAGGTTGATCCATCATAACTAAATTCAATCCAAGCAAATAACAGACTTGAAAAGCTCCAAAGAGAAGCCCTCTGGACTTACCACCATCTCAAAGTCCCCGTGATCAACCTCGCTTTGTTCCTGGCTCTCTTGTCGGATATGCTCGCCATTTGCAATTCCAGAACTCTGTAGCTTGTCTTCGGCATCGTCGTCGTCGTCATCATC